CTGAGAGAACCTTCACTGCACTGTCATTGATGTCTGCAACTTTCAGGGTAGTTTCTTTAGCAACTGCGCACACAGAAAATACCTCCTCAGTAACCACACAGAACTGTGACGTTCAAGTGACGGTCAGTGTGTTCAGTTAGCCGGTAAAAAGAGTACCATACGTTTTTTTGCTCAGTGAGTGCCCCTGTCCTTCATTGGTCTGAGCTTTCTGTGGCTGCACTAAATTATTTAAGGGAAAGCAGTCATCTCTGAGGAAACCCAACAGACTTTCCACTGTGTCCCATGAGACCAAGAAGAAGCAGACGGGTAGCTGGGGCACCGCCGCCGGAAATAACATGGCAGAGAAATTTTGGCTGTGGTGGCTTTAGCACACGGCTGCTATCTGGTTCAGAGACTCCCGAAGCTTGGTGATAGCAGCCGAGTAGAGTGAAGGTTTCCAAGCAGATGTGCCGATGCCAGGCAGGAACAAAGGCCTCTTCTCTCGGATGGTGCAGGATCACAGCGAAGAGGACGGCTCTGTGTCTAAAGAGCATTTCAGAGCGGTGGGGACAGCCAGGTCCAAACAAAAGAGGCTCAGTAGTCGTCTCAACCTCTGCTGCCTTTTGGCTCACTGCCAAGCACCCCCCCCCCACACTTCCCCACACAGAGACGCCTCTCCTCAGTGGAAAGTGACAGTCCATCTTTCTTCATCCTCAGGCATGACCAATCAACCCTGAGCAGAGTGATGGATGTTCGCTGGAGTCCTCTCTCACTCCTGCTTCCAGCATCTCGCCAGTTCAATCTTTTGTTACCCACCTTTTACTCTGGAACACTAAAATCCTTTTCTTTTTTAATCTTTTAAACTTGAGGAAATAAAGCTGCACATATAGCCTATTTGCACTTTAAATTGTGAAACACTCGCCCCTACACAAGCAAACAAACAAAGTCACACTTCTGCAGAGTGATCAATAGATTCAGGGAGAACACTAGCTTATAGCTCCAGTGCAGAAATGTCTAGAAAGGAAAGCTCTTGATTCTACTTTCTTTACCCTGCCAGGTACAAAAACCTGCACGATACTCTGTGTCTATCAGCACATCAGACTCTGTTTCACAGTCTGTCAAAGTTGGAAAACTTCTGCTTTCAGAGGTGTGTCTATGCTTGCATGCTCAGTTGTGTCTCTGATAAAGGCAGACAGGCGAGCATATCACTTGAATTAATATGGTGTAATTAGATTTAAATTCAAAACGACAGGACGCAAAGTTTTACTCAACATCACACCTCACACACACACACACACACACACACACACAGACACACACAGACACACAAGTGTTGGCAGTGTGTCCTTTCAAAACTGAAAAAACGCCAAGTCAGGAGATGTCTGGTGACCGTCTGGGGCCTGCTGTCATCCTTCTCACTCCAGATAATCATCACCCATCATCTCCCTCTCGGTTCGGATCCAATCCTGTCAAACCTCCCGTCTGTATTTGAATGAATGCACGTTTTAAAGGTTGCTGTGCGGAGCATCAATAATGTTAAACAGCAGAGAAAAAAAAGACTGTGTTTTGCTTCCTCGCATTTGGCCCACGACACAGCTGCCCTGGGAAAGAAACCTGTCAGACAAGAAACACCTTCCTCCTGTTTCTGTCTCTTTAATTAAAACCTCAGTATTATGTAAATTCTTCAAATTAAGGCCTGGTTTTTTTCTTTCACACTCTAAAATCTCATCCTATTTCCCAGAGACGGCGGCAGCGGCGGCGAGGCTATTGTTTCTTTTCCGATGTCAGGCTTGTTTTGTTTTGCAGATGACATCATGCATCGCCTCTGCTCGTGGTGGAGAACAGACTCATGGGACCATTGTTAGCAGGCTGTCTCATTTTGTCTCTTGAAATCATTAGAGAGAGAGGGAAAGGCTGGAGCTGCGAATGTGCAAGCAAATAAAAACACAACCAGGACAGGGGAAAGCCGTGAACCAAGTGTCGAATGTGTGAAACCTGGAACTCTTTGGGAGAAAACAGGCCGCTTTAAAAAACATCATATTAACTGCAGAGGGAGAAAATAAGATGCGGCTTTATGAGATTTGACAAGTGAGGCGTCTTCATTTCAGAGGCTGTTGACGGAAATTAGAAGATAAATCATGTGTCACAAATGTCTAAAAAAAACAAAGTAGTTCACGTTATATCCTGTAACACGATGCCCTTCCTTTTTAATCAAAAGACTCAAAGAGAGGAACATTTCAGCCTCACAGCAGGACTTTTTTTTACTGTCAATACTTCTTCTGCCTGCATGGTGAAATCTGATGCAAGCTTTTTCCCCAGTTTATTACCACACTCCATTACCCAATTTAATTTCCCTTTGTCTTTCAAAAGAGATCTCTTTGATTTATGTTCCATTCTCCTCCAACATGGATCATTACAGATGTGGTAATAAACCTCCCAGCGTCTCTCACTCGACGCTTTTACTCTTATAAAAACTGACCTAAAACTATATTCTTGTTATGATAATACTGGATTCACCAAGATATCAACAAAGTTTGACAATAAGCAGTCAGACGTACACTTTAGCCAGATTATCTAAACCACTGTATTTGGAAGTAAAACTGAAAGTGAACACACACATAATGTCAGTAGTAATCAGTCAGTGCACAGCTACTGTAAATACAGTAGGTTAAGGTTAAACCAGCTGGTCAGTCTATAAACAGGTTTATGGGCAGTTTTGGAAATAATTTTACTGTTTGCTTTCGTTTCTCCTTCTCCGACAACCCTGAATTATGTTTATATACTACTAATCTGTAACAGCACGTATGTTTTCTATCAACACAATGAGGAAACATGTTGCAAAATGTTAACATTGATTATATCTGCAAAATCAATATCTGCACTTACAACATGTCTAATTTATTTTCTGTACAATATCTGATCACATTTAACATTTTAAGGTTAAGGTTAGGGAAAGATTGTGGTCTCAAAGGTTTAAGTTTATTTTTGGGAGGGTTGCTTTCAAATAAGTTTGTTCACCCTTGTTGACATGCTCATAGATCTCAGTAATTAGCAAATAATTAGCAAGTACCATGTTGTCCTAACCCAGTGGTTCTCAAACTGTGGTGCAGGCCCTGTGGTGGGGCACAGAGTCACTGCAGGTGGAGAGTGGGTGACCGGGGGGCGAATATGGAGTGGAACAAAACTAAATCAATATGATTTATGAACGGAAACTAAACAAACATGAGTTTGCTTATGCTATTGTGTTGACCTTTCAGTTCACAGAAAATTCAACTCTTTATTTATTAGTTCTGGTTCCCCTGTCATTGATAATGATTGCCTTTTTTCAGAGTCTGAAGTGGGACATGATGGAAAAAGTTTACAAAACTATAAACTACAAAAACAAGACCCATGCTGTAATAAAACTAAATTATCCTTTAAAGTCCACATGAAACTGAAATAAGAGTGCTATTTGCTTCCGTATAATTACGTATTTCCTGTAAACAGCAATTAGCTAACAGCAGCTACATTAGCAGTTACGTCAGATGAAAAACCAAACAATATTCTCCACTAAAAATAAGATCCAGTTTCACCCAAATCACTGATAAAGTTGTGCTTTTTTACAAGTGATAAAGTTTTATAAAGTACTCAGTAAGGCCCGGCCCCCAGCTAGCCATGCTGTTGCTAGTTAACAAATGAATCTTTGCGTACTGTGCTGCTAGAAAGTAAAAGATTGATTGATCGGGGAATGACATAATATTAATGTCTAATTATCGATTAGTTCATGCTTACAGAAGCACGCTTCACATTTTGTTTTACAGGAAGACAAAACATAGTCAAATAGGGGGTACAATATAACCCAGGATGCAATCTTTTACTCATTTCACCTGGACTTTTTTGTATTTGTAAATCTACTATGGCGTATAAACAATGATACCGTACACAATCCGCAATGAATACCAAATAGTTGAAGACTATGACACAACTTTCGAACTTCAAACATGGTCTGTCACCATTCGTTCAGTATTTGGGATCTCAAATTCTTGAAAAAAGCAATACTTGGGAACAGTCTGATGTGCCCATATTCATGGTTTGAAGATGATGAGCACTGTCACAGCTGCAGTTTGCATGCTGTAACCCTAATTCCTCTCTTGGGGAGTTGTAAATTGGCATGTCATTATAGCTTAGGCGTCAGGACAGGAGTTCCTCTCTCTTGCTATAGGGGATCCAGGTGTAAAAGGCTATGTACAAAGGGAAACTGAGCTGTCCTTGGGCAGAGGAATGACACACATTTTTTTTTCTGCTGAAGCTCTGCACCCTGCCTCTTTTAAAGTTGCAGGTGACTAATCTTCACTTGTCAAACAGACAGGTTTGTCTTTTTTTTTCTTTCAAAAACTGACACTTTGAAGGTCTCAGCTCATTCCCTTGACTTTTTTTTTCCTGCAGAGTTCAGATGTTGCTGATTCATCCTGACTCCTGCAGAGAAAATAACTACAGCACCATGCTCGTACTTTAAAAAATCAGGACTCTTCCCTTAAGGAACAGAGTCTCTGAGTCATGGCTTAGTCAAACTCTTTGAAGGATATCATTAGCTGCTGCTGCAAATGCCAGGTGAAAATTGACATTGTGAGAAAAGAATGGGAGGGGGGGAAGAGTTGCACCAGTAAATGCAAGCTGTGTAAATACTAATTAGAGTATACAGAGCTGTATATTGTTGTTAAAATAATCAAACTACAAGTGAGCAGCAACAGAGAGCACAAAAGTCCCGCACTGAGGTTTAACCCTCTAACCTCTTCACCTCGCACCTTCGTTATATATCACCGAAAACAGTGCAAACACGAGACACTTTGGGGTGAAAGAGGAAGGGGTGCAGTGAAGAACAGAGGAATATAGATGAATTGGCATCAGAACTAAAGGCACAGAGGAACAGCAGGTCCCACACGCCCTCCCCCTAACCCCCCCAACCAGCCCCCTCCTCAGCTGGCTTTGTTCCTGCATCTTCTTTGCAACAATTCAAAAGCAGCTCGCACAAATTAGACCCATGGGAAGAGAGAACAGACCAACGTGCAGCAAACTACTGTCACTCAGACAGCCTTCTGCCGAGAGAGAGAGAGAGAGAGAGAGAGAGAGAGAGAGAGAGAGGAAGGGGACATTGGATACGCAGCGTGCTCAAGTAGACACGAATTGGCCACGAGGGACCAGATGTTCCTCCACAGTGTAGCCTCTTCTCACTAATGTATGTTCTTGGCATTGCACTGCAGCATACACTGTACGTACACCTACATCCACTTGTCTTTGCAACTTTATCAGTCTCAAGGCTTGATGGTCTTTGTCTAATGTGGAGCAGAGGACGCATGTAAGGGTGTACACGAGATGGTTTCTGCTCCTCGTATCCTCTAAAGAGGGTCACACAGTTGTTTTCATTGTCTTTGCACACACACACACCTGATGATGACGAGAGGTGAGACACGGGAGTAGAGGGAGAAAGACAAAGAGAGAGAGAGAAACAAGTCTCATCATGGGAGGAGCCTGGCAGCTTCCTCAACTTTTTTGCAGATTGCAGGTGTTATCTTCACAATCGTGATCGAGTTAGGAATGCCACACATCAGCGTGGAGCTGGCAGGAGGAGCTGGCAGGAGGAGCTGGCAGGTGTTGTCTGCGGAGAGATGCACTGGCAAGCACGAGGTGTCAAATGTGGAGTCGATTGGAGAAACAGAACAAAAACCCTTATTCTGTCAAAGCCAGCCTTGTGATTTACATCATGGTTTAGATCTGCTAGATTCAAGCACCCCAAAACCTACAGAAAAAGCAGCGCAGAGCACCAGAGGACTGTGTGTTTAAGTGTTTAAGTGTGTGTGTGTGTGTGTGTGTGTAGTATAGTGCTTCAGTTTGTCACTGCTTAAACTGGATTCTCCACACTTATTAGTCACACATTGTATTTTATCCAATAGAGGGAATTAAACATGCTTAATACTTGAGCAATAATGCCTAACATCATGGACCTTAAAGTACATGAATCGTCAACATAAAAAAAAAGAAACAAAAAGGGGTTTTTGAAGATTTCAGAAGAAGACATTTTTACTGAACAATTGAGTGCAAATGAAAACAGAGCGGCAGATCTATATTCAAGTAATTAGACTCTAGCAGGGATTTTTGCATTTGAACATCACAGAGGAGAAATTGAACACCGCATGAGAAACATAGTTCCCATTTAAACAACAATGAACTCATTCTTTTGCTCTTTGGCAGATACATGATTTTTAAAGAAAATCGGACGAGGGAACATGTGTTTTTCTTTCTTTCGGCTGCCAGTGTCGAGGATGGCATACAGTTCGTAATGGCAGCCAATTACAGAGGCTTTTCATCCAGGAGGCAGCATCAAACAGTTTGACTGTCAGCTTTTGTTGCAGGAGGCAGACAGACAGATCAGCCTGGGGAGAGACTGAAGCCGGATGCACACACCAACACTTTCTTCTTCTCTGAACGGCCATCTCAATGCGATAACTGGCCTTTCAGAGCAATCGGTCAAACTCTGCAGCAATAATGGTGTCTTGGAGGTAAAAAGAGGTGATGCCGCCACACTAAATAAGACACAGAAGCTCAATTTCAGTGTGAGAAACCATTTCCATCATCATGAGAGACAAAAAAGTGAGCATGTGCTGCATTTTGAAGGGAACAGGCATGTTTGTTGATCTGAGAGGTCCTTACTTAACCCTACCTGTTTGTCAGTCTGCTGTATAACCCCGTTGCCACCCGAGGGACGTTCCTGAGCACTGTAGCTCGCTTCCTCCTCCTGGGATCTGACAGATATAACAAATGCAGCGTCAGAGCAAAGGAAAAGCCCTCAGCTCTCACGCACACTGTACACAATGCATGCGTACACACAGACTGAGCACAGACGTAAAGGCAGTGAGGGGACAAATGCTTCCTGCCCAGGAGGGGGTATATTTAGAGTCTTGCGTAATGTGCTTTTAACACAACACAGAGTGGATGAATTTTTAATGCCAGACAAGAGAGAGGGAGAGACAGAGAGAGAGAGTGAGAGAAAAAAAATGAATAAAGTTAAGTATTTAATCTGTGCTGTTGCTTAGGGGAGAGACAGAGATCTGAGAGCAGCCCATAAGCGTCAGGCATGGCACACAGGATAGCCACCGATGTACCAGCTATGGATGAATGGGTCTGCAAGAGAAGGAGATGGAAAGCAGGAGAGAGAGCAAGCGAGGGAGGCAGAGAAAGGGAATATTGAGAGAGATATGTAAGGCAAGAGAGTGAGGAGGAGGAGGAGGAGGAGGAGGAGGAGGAGGAGGAGGAGGAGAGAGTTTGCATGAATGAGCGAGCAGGAATAACTATGAGCCATGTCCAGACTGTGCCGGGTAACCCGAGGGAAACAAAGAAGTGCACAGTACCACGGTTTCTCTGGCGAAGCCCTCACACTCTCATGTGAATGTTTACAATGCAAAAGACGTGTCTACCATACTGTTTGACTGGGAGGAATACGCCTCAGCCTAATTGAGAAACCAGTGGCTGATAAAACTGTGTTTTCCTCAGCTATTTTCTATCTTGTATATGAAACCGTTTCCATTATAGGAAAAGCTGTGTAGGATAAAGATAAATCTGCATCAGATATTTGACAGAAGTGTATCAGAAACACCCGCAGATAGTGGTGTTGGTCACCTTTTTCAGTATTACAAAAAAAGGTTACAGAGTGAGATACCGGTGATGACATTTTTGTGACAGTTAAGAGATACGCTAAAGGGCAGAAATAACGTGGTGAGCTGTGCAGTTCACTCCTCCACTGGGAGAAGGTTTCACATACAGTTTTGCAAAAATAATGAAGATCGAATTTATGGCTTTGTGGATTTTATGTTCATATTTAGTTGTTTATTGCTCCTGAGAGAGTTTCCGAGCCACAGTTTTGTTCAAAGCAAACACAGTATTATAGAACTTAAGCCCAGGGCACGCAACTATTTAATTAACCACTAAACTCGTATAGAATATGACACACATGTTCAGCTTTGTTTATTTGTTTTTCACATACATTATTTGTTTTTCTGTGTGGAGTTTTGATGTCCACCATTGTCAGCTAGACAGCAGATCAATGAGAATTTTTGTCATTAGTAAAGGCGGTTATTCATTTGTCAACAATTCCCACAAAAGACCAAAACCAGCATTGCATTAGTCTGATTTTCCTCAGACCCCCAAGCCTGTTTGTTCCTACTGAAGATGTCAAAAAGGTTCAAACATCTCAAAAAATACATAGTTTACTTTCCTAAAACAGCTCGGGACTGAAGTTTTAGTTGTTGAGAAATAATATTTTGTAGTTGTAGTAAACTTACTCAATCAAGAATAAATTGTGTGTTTGTTTGGGGGACTATTTTCAGGCGTGCATTAATACATATTTGACACTCTAGTGAGTACAGCAGCAGGACAGTGGATGTGGGAGTGAATCAAAAACTACAGTGTCCACATACAGGGGATATGTCACCTCATAACAACAATGGAGAAGAAACAGGACTTTCAGCTTTCTGTTGTTTTGTCTCAATGGCTGGTTATTCTTTTGCAATCAAAAGTCACTCTCAAGCTCTTTACTTGCAAATACAGACTTTAAAAAAAAACTGGTCAAATTACTAGGCAACAACACCTCATCAGGATTAGGCTACATGACTGCCACACACTACTGACTCACTGACATACAGTATTTCATGCCCTGAAACTAGTGCCAAGACCAAAATAGACCAAAATATTATGTTTAAATTAGCAACACATTTCGTCGCTGCTGGCTTGAAAACAAGGCAGGAAATAAAGCATGGATGAAAGGACTTGAGATGTCTTAGAAACACCTGCCTTTAAAAAACAGCTGGCTAGGCAAGTCCCACTGGGAGCTTCATTGCCTACAGTGTGACTCACTACATGGTTTTCCTCTCAGCCTTGCTGCTTTCTTAACCAAAATAACACTTGAGAGTGAACAAGATACCACAAAGGCTGTTTGGCCTTTCTTAGTGTTTGCCTAAAAACATTATGACAGTTAGAATCACTAAAATCCATGTGAAGTAGCTTCTGTAGGCGCGATGAGCTCAGTGTAAAGCGCCGAAGGGAGCCGGAAATAACAGATGGGCGATCACGAACTGGCTATCTATCTTTTCTCAAGGCTTTGCTGTACGTGGGAATCTTTGAGAGCAGACGAATGAAAAAAAAAAACGATCAGGATCGCTGATCAGCAGATGTATAGGCTCATTGCTACTAATCCCAGCAATATGCTCAAATCGACCAAAAGAGAAACAACAGTGGCACGACAGTGAGGGATAGTCAGATTGCATCAGTTGTGGGTGACAAGGAAATGAATAACCTCGGCACTGGCAACATCAAGGAGAGGAGAGAGGTCACATGAGGTGTCACACATTCAATAGCAGTCATTCAGATGACTCTGACAGCAGTAGTTAACCCCTCTTCACCTCTTATTTCACTCTGTCAGTAAGGACTATTTTGTCTCTCAATAACAGTATTTACCGGCAAACTAAAAAAACATCCTTTCACACTGTTTTCACCCAGTGGAAAATAATGGTCTTCACCTATTGATTCGAATTAGCATTTCATTCAACAACACAGAATTTCTTTTTTTTGACAAGAAGTTAATAAAAATGCTCCGGAAAATGAAAATTTTAACTTCTACAATTCCATTCGGTGATGAAGATCATGTGATGTGATCAAAAGCTCCAGAACTACTATTACTACTACTATATTGACCTGAAACACATTTCACTGTTACATACAGGCACAATCAGTTTACAGACATTTAATTTGTTTTCACATATGAGGCAAGTGATTTTCAGATATTGCACATGTGAAATATAAAATATCACAAATAAAATGTATAAATTCACATACAGGCACCTGTTTTATTATTTTCACCTCCTCACTTTTGTGAGACCATGCATGTATTTTACTGTGAACTTCTTTTTAAAGTAAAAAAAAATACTTTCCAAACACTAATGAAATAATCAAATATGTATGGTTAACCAACCAAACAATGATTTTCAATTAAGTTCCCATATTCCCAATTTCTGAATCGGCTTGCATTAATTCTTATCTTCTTCATCAGTTGATCTGTTGCTAATCTTTTATGAATATTTTGTTAATTGTTTAGTCTATGAAATTACAGAAAATAGTGGAAACCATCACAAGATGATCAACAAACATTTTAAATATATGCTGATTATAAACCAAGAGAAGCTGAGAGGCTGGAACCAGAAAATTATATTTCCTTGATAAATAATTGAAATGATAATAAATTATCTGTTGATTGATTTCACGTTGATAAACTATTATAGCCCTATTCCTTTCTGAATGTTAAAACAGAGCTCAATAAAATATTTATTCTCCACCACACAGTTTTGTTTATTTCTAAAAAAAAAGTTTCTTCTCTTGCCTTTTTTTATTCATCTGAAGAGTGGCAGCATTATCCTGCAGCATCAAACATGTTTGTGTACACACTCAGGGGGCATCACTTCATGCTGACTTTGCTGATAGCAGAAATAAATTCAGAGGGCCTGTCAGTCAGAGAGGTGGGAGTGATCTTTCTTCCTCCACACTTTCACACTGAGGCTATAAACTGATCTCTGTCACAGGAGGAACAAAGCAGCCTTACCAGACAGTACACATGCAGCTGCAGCATACAGGAGCAGCATTATTGCCACAGTGGAGCTTTCTATTTGGGTATTATCCCATCTGTACTTGAAGCTGAAGCACCAGATGTGCTAGTCTGATTTCCTGTTGGGTTTCGAATCCATCTGATGCTTCATAAGACAGAGAAAGAGAGAAGAAAATGATTTTCATGTTAAAAGAAGGAGGATATGTGAGAATTATATCACAATCTTCTAACACAGTATCAATACAAGTAGTACTTCATACAGTATGTTCCTGTACAGCATATTGAGTGCTATATTTGTCTGCCACATGATAAAATTGACCTACCGCATAAGAAAAATCAAAGGCAAGTCTGCATCAGCAGCCCCTTTGTCCCTTTCTCTGGTTTACAGATACAAGTCATGACTGATGGAGCCCAGAGGTGTGTGAGCTGTCATCCAGGGCTCATCTGGCCCATGACGAGCCTGAGGGGGTTGCTGTCACCAGCAGAGCAGACTTCCTGCCTCCAGCTGTGGTTTCCGTTGGGCCGAGGCCGGCTAATGAGGCCGTTATCAGATCAGCATCTTCAGCCTGACACAAGCTTAGCCTCCAGCAGAACTGATTTGACCTTTTCCCACCTGCTCTCAAGATAAACGACGAGGAGATTCACACAATATAGACACAGGAAGACAGAGGACACGGATATTGTATATTATTCTTGAATAACTTCCGAGATGAATAAGAGAAGGGAATGTGATTTATGTGACACAATTCAATTTCAAAAGTATGTGGGTTATAGTTTTCATTTTAGTTGACCTACTGAATATTGGATGGTCAAAATCACTACATCAAATGATTGATCATTCAGAAATGGACTTTATGAAGACAAACAGGAAAGGGGGAGGAGAGAGAAAAGGGAGAAGACACGCAGCAAAGGGACGCAGGTATTTGATCATAAACCAAAAAACAACTAATTATGTTGACCTGATGATAGGCGAACATCCCAAGAGGGAATGAATATCTGTATCATATTTCATGGCAATCCAGTGTTTGAGACATTGAACAAAAGTTGTTTTTTTCATTCATTTTAGAGATTAAGGCTTTGTCAGATTTGCACATTTGTGAACTCTTTCTTTAATTAAAAAGTGTTAATATGACACAGAGCGTGAAGTGATTAAACAAGTGCTGCTGTTATTTTAAAAAATGCTCTCAATCAGTGACAGAGCCACTTAGGCACTGCCCTCAATACGCCTCTTTGGCGATGGGTAATTGGTGTGTTTGTGTATGCGTGGCTCCATCACTCTGCTGAATGGAAAACCATGCACCAGCTGCATGGAGAACAGCAACCAGCTATCACACTGTCATACACCCATCTTCACACAATGCTTTAAAGCTGAAAACACTGTTGTTGCCTTTAGAAGTCTGTGAACTTCAAGGGGGCGCAAACCAAGTGTAAAACCTTGCTGTGATTGCTGTGTATGCACTGCTGAACATTTGCTTGACAGGACAAAGTTACAACAGATGAGGACTGAGCAACAGCAGTGAGCCATCTGTTTTTACCTTTAGTCCTGAGAAGACGATAAACATCTCGGTGTGATTTAGATTATGAAGAATGAAATAGCAGCATTTTTCAGCAGTTTCAGTGCAAAAAACCTGTGCAGTAAAACGTAAACATCCACTACCAGCTCTGCAACCAAAGAAAAAAGAAAAGCATAATTTCCCTACACCGGAGAGATCTGAGAGCAAATTAGCTTTGTTTACTGTTTTGCACTAATACATCAACATAATTATCAGCACTATGATGGAAGAGAGGTGTCTATAAGCTGAAACCAATTTTAACTTTCAATTGTCATCTCCAAAACAGAGCCATTCTATCATTTTGAAAGCCTTATGTGGGCCATTAGTATGCACAATGAGGTGCACTTCATCTTCGCACACAGGGAGCAAATTAACTTCAAGCACTGGCACTGTAGTGGTGTTGTGTAATGGTGGACTATGAGGGTTGATGTTGTTTTTCTGCAGCTGGTTGCACAGTCAGCTAGAGACAGTAGGGCTGTAAGCATCACACAACGTCTTCTTTGTGTTTTTATCTGTCTATCCATTTCCAAAATGGCATTTGGGCAGCGACATTCACACAACATCTATATGCTGGAAACATGTTTGAGAGGAACCTCAGAAGATGACAGCTTAATGTCCTCTGTGACAGCTAATTTGCCTACGTGGGAGTGAGAGGGAGCTGCCAGACTGTTTATTTCCCTCAGAAAAATCAACATATCTGATCTCGGGTTGGAGGGAGAGTCATTTTCCAGAGTAAATTTTCTTCCACGGCAAGAGTAACGGCTATTAGAGGCTGCACAAGATCCCTACCTCCTATTTTCACAGGATGCCTTTCTAAATTGAGATTAGTCACAGCGGTCGTGCTGTTACTAAATGCATGTATTCGACAGCTTCTTGCAGGAAAACTTAATGAACCTCGGATGAATATGCATGCAAGAAACAAAGAGACAGGAAGAAATGCACAGAAACATGCAGAGTGGGGACTGAGCAACAACATTAACTCTGGTGGCCTCAGCAATGTGGTATATTCTTGGTATAAGTTTCTCCACGATCCTTTTTCAAGAAAGTTGTTTAAGGAAATGTAAAATTAATGTTAAGTATAAAAGTAAACTTGCCAAATAAGATTCAGTTGAGAGTATCAACAAGCTAAAATGAGACATTTTACAGCACCACATTTTTGCCCATCTATAACATTTTCGTTAATTACCAAGGAATTTGACAAGACAAGTTTCTCATTTATTCAGTCCAATTATTCAGTCTGAATAAATTGTGGCAAGATTGATTTCCTTTGTTAGAGAGAATGTTAGAGCTTGCTAATCCAGTAAAATTATTACTTGCATTGGTGAATCTTTTTATGCCAGTTAATGTAAAGAATGTCGTAAGTGTTATATCTGAGGAGCTTCATCATTAGATGATGCAAACTTCTGGATATTTCACTTTTATGCACTGACAAGAAGAAACGTATAAACTGTGGGGTGTTTTAAATTGTTCTTTAACAAGCCAGTCCATTGTGAGATGGTGCAGCATTAGTAGAAGAGTAAATAAATTCAGAGAAATGGAAAGCTTATTATATGAGCAAACATATGGGGGTATTTAACATACAGTACAAAGCTTTCTGAGGCCGGTTCCTACAAAGACCCTCTTTAGGTAATTTGTGCGCAAAGCTGAAATGCTCAACAGGTTTCAATTATAATCCAGTTTCATCAAGTGTTATATAAATGTCATTGCAGCAGCCTTCAACACGAGCCAGTCCCTGAGCCCAGATGTAATAAAAAGGTGAACAGTCACATTATTGTACTTGTTTGAATCACGCTGTGTCCCTTGACAGTTTGAGTGGATATAACATTTATCAGCACCTCACACAAAGCCAAGTGTTGCTGCTGTCTCAGGTGGGAGTAACTGGCCATATGAAACAGAATGAAAGCCTCAGGGACAATCTGGAAGAAGAAACAACAGGGCAGAGAAAACACTTTTCTTTGAGCATGGAAACAAGATTGACATGTTCTGTGAAATATGCATCAGTGCAGTGAAATTTCCTTAAACATCTGTGGATGTGATTGAATTCTTGGATATGGAAGGCATGGATTTGATATTGAATACCTGGTACATTAGCAGCTGCACTAATCATCATTTTAATACAAACTATTGTTTAAATGACTATATGTAATGTGAAATATGTCCCTTGTAGTGATAAACCCATAGATAATTGTAATTTTAATGTCTTTCAGCTCATAGTTTTAGTTTTACAGACCACAACTAATCATTTGGTTCTCATCTACATCATTTCCAGCAGCAGAAGGTAGCTACAACCTACTACACGCTACCTGCCCACCACCAAACAACAGACAAACAAAGTAAGCAACTAGCTTGTGAACATAGCAGAGCACTTAACATCTTTCCTCCAGGATTTAGTGGAGACAAAAACAGAGCTAAAAAGTGGCCGAATATTGCTCTTACATTCACCAGGTGGCCAGAATCACAACTCCAAAACAATAATAATGTCGATCCATGTCTGCTGGCCGTGTAAATAGGCAACTGTTTGCTGTCATGTTCACCACATTGGCTTCATGACACCATGATAGGCCCCAAAGTGGGTGTGGTATCTGAAGGCCTATAAATTTAAGTTACATGTTATTATAAGTTCAAGTGATATTCTTGTCAACATATGCAGTGTTAGTAGGACATGAGGTTCAACGTCGTAATTCTTACTATGAAATGTTTAGGCTAGGGGCCTCTCAATGGCCTCTGACCTTTAGCTTAATAAATCCCCCATCACCCTGTTTTACCACACATATCTGTACTAGAACCAGATGTTTCTTTCTATTTTCTTGAATAAACAACAGACCTATAAAAACCTATGTTCAATGCAATATAGACAGAGCTATTCATTTGGCAGGATGCTCTCCAAGCTCCCGGGGCTTGAAATGATGCTGTACCTTTTTGTAATAAACCTTTATATACAATCAAGATGGTGTCAGCGGACTTCTCTTCAATACATCTTCACATCATTGCTACTTAATATACCACATGGGGAAAAAAATCAATTGCAGCAGGTTTACAGAAAAACTGGAGAGCGTGTTTTCAAAACTCATTGCGCTTGGATAAAAATAATTCATTTCCTCTTGTCTCTCCCAGCACTTCAAATTTCATAATCATTGCCCAAAACCGATGAAAGGAGAAGATAATCACCTCTGCGGCTGCTCTGTCTGTCACAGTTGTCAGGCCACTGGTTCAAACCTCTTCACCTCCAGACTGCAAGAGGCTAAGGACATTGTGAAGGTGATGAGAGGAGAGCCTCTGATTCACCGTGCAGCCTTTCCCTCTGTCTCTGTGAGCAGATGGTGAGTTGGATCAGTGCCTTTAGATTGGCTGCTATCTTCTCATCTGTGGCCTGTCTCTGCCCATCAACAGCTGCCTCTCGGGCAGTAAACGTATTGATTACAGGTGGCACTGATCTCTAAATAGCCAAGCTGAGGCATCTGGGGCACTGTGGTAGAAAGCAAGAACACAGGGAGGACGCATATTTGGGAATTCTTGAATAGCACTGAGGACATTAATGAAACCAAAAGCTTCAGCAACTACTTTCACTCTTTAA